ATCATCACAATGGAATCGCCGAACGATCCATCCAAACGATTATGTCCATTGCGCGAACAATGATGTTGCATCAAGCCATCCATTGGCCTGATGTTGCTGCTGCCAACTGTTGGCCCCTTGCCGTGGACCAAGCTGTCTTCTTGTACAACCACATGCCAAATCCAACCACAGGTCTATCTCCGAATGATCTCATCAGTCGCACCCGCTGGCCCCAATCTCGACTTGCCAATGTTCACGTTTGGGGATGCCCAGTATATGTTCTTGAAAAGAAGATCCAGGATGGACAAAAGCTGCCTCGGTGACAACCCTGCTCAACTCGGCAAATCTATGTTGGACTGAGCAAGAAGCACGCATCGTCAGTTCCATTGTGTTTGAATCCAGCAACTGGCGCCATTACATCCCAATTCCACATTGTGTTTGATGACGAGTTCTCAACAATTGCTACGAGTGTCGATGACTTACCGGATTTTGATTCTAATGAATGGATGAAGCTCTTTGGAGACTCGATCTACCAATACATCTTGGATGATGATGATGATCATGAGCTTCCAGTCGACCAAGCTCCATCCGACCTTCCGCCATTGGTGTCTTGCGTCCAAGACCAAATTGAACACCATCGCCCTTCAGAACCATTGGACGTCAAGCCCCCAGCTACCACCGTGCCACCAACTGTCGGATTGTCAAATCAGCAACCTTCGCTCCAAAGGGAGACTCCACTACTTTCACTCCTGAGGGAGACTGTGAATGAGGCTCCGCCTTCCCAGCCGTCTGCGCCTCAGAGGGAGATGAATGCGATTCCAAAGGAGATGCCACAGCCCCCTACACGTCCAAAAACGAAACCAGCTGCACAGCCTACACGTCCAAAAACGAAACCAGCTCCACAGCCTGCTCCTGCTCCAAAGCCTTCAGTTTCACTACCACCTCGCCGTTCCAAACGTTCCACTGCCGGAAAAGCTCACAATCGACTCATTGAATCCCAAGGACACTTTGCTTCTGCTGACAACGACAACGGATACTTCCCTTCTTCAACACTTTCAATACCGAATGGATTGAGACTCAGAGTCTTTTCTCTTATCCATCTGCGTACAAAGTCCGAGCCGTCAAGGATCCTGACACTCTGTCATACAACAAGGCAATCAAGTCGAATGACAAGGATAAGTGGTGTGAAGCTGCAAGGAAAGAAATTGAAGAGCTCAAAGGAAAACTCACCTGGAAAGAAGTCCCAATGTCAGACGCCAAATCCAAGATCATTCCTGGAACCTGGGTGTTTTAAGTCAAATGTAACCCAAGTGGTGACATTAAGAAGCACAAGGCAAGATATTGTGTGAGAGGAGATCTTGAGAACAGACCTGCTGACAAAGACACCTTTGCACCTACCATTGCCTGGAGTACTGTTCGCATGTTTCTTGTTCTCTGCATGATACTTGGATGGACCACTGTTTCTGTGGACTTCAGCAACGCCTTTGTTCAATCCAAGCTTCCAACTTCTAAGTGGATCCATCTGCCGCGCGGATTTGATCACCTCAAGGTCCTGGCACTTCTCTAAGACTTCAGAGATCATTACATGGACTTTCTTCAAGCCCCCATTTCTGGTCAGAAATGTGCAAGAAAGGTCTAGAGAAGTGTGGACTCAAGCAATCGAAAATTGACCCTTGTCTGTTTTACAAACTTGGAATGATGGTGGTCCTGTACGTTGATGATGCAGGAATTGGTGCCGCTGATCCCCAAGACGTTGATCGCTTGATCGACCAACTACGCGACCTTGGATTTGAGCTGAAGAAGGAAGGAAATTTCAATGAGTTTTTTGGAATCAAATTTGACAAACGAGATGATGGTTCAATCAAACTTACCTAAACTGGTTTGATTGACAAGATTCTTGTTGCAGCTGGAATGACCAATTGCAAGCCGAATCGCACCCAAGCCACTGGCCCTCTTGGATCCGATCCTGAGGGAGATCCTATGAATGAAGAGTGGAATTATCGATCCATTGTTGGAATGTTGTTGTACCTATCAACAAATACAAGACCGGACATCAGTTTTGCAGTGAGTCAATTGGCCCGCTTTAGTTCCAATCCAAAGCAATCACACGCAACTGCTGCAGTCATGACAATTCTAAGTTACCTGAAGCGCACCCGTGACAAGGGTACCATTGTCAAAATTGATAGAAAGCTTACCTTGGATATGTTTGTTGACGCTGACTTTTGCGGACTTTTCAAAGTTGAACCTGATGCTGACCCAACCTCTGTCAGATCTCGCACTGGATTTGTCATCAAGCTGGCTGGTTGTCCCGTTACTTAGAGATCCTCTCTACAGACAAGTATCGCATCTTCTACACTCAAAGCTGAATACACCGCTCTTTCTGATGCCTTGAAGACTCTGATCCCACTGAAGCGAATGCTCGTCGAAGCAACCTCAAAGGTAAATGTCTCCGATCCAATGGTTGCCACCATTCGAGCTTGAGCCTTCGAAGACAATCAAGGCTGCTACTTCCTTGCAACCAATCAACGCATCACTTCCCGAACCCGCTGGTACCTCAACAAGTTCCACTGGTTCTGGCAATACGTCTCCAAAGATGGCATTGCTGGCGACTCCGTTGCTGTGGAAGAAACCAAAACATCACTTCAAGATGCTGATTACCTCACCAAGGCTCTATCACCTGAACCATACGTAATCATCATAATATTTCTTTGAATCAATTTGTATTACACAAACAACACTAAGTCAGTACTTGAAGCCGCTCATAGTTGGACAGTCTTGTGATCCGCAATCTCAGGTCACCAGGAACACCCGGCAAATGACGAAAATCCGTACCGCGCGGGGTTGACTGTGGGAATTCTGATGTCTTTCGATGGGCGATCCCTGCCTTAAATATATTTCAGTTTTTAAAAAATATCATTTTCACAGAACAACATTATTTTTGATCTTTTCTGATCCTAATTCTGTAAATAACAACGGGTCATTTGATGGTTGCAGGGTCATTAAGAAACTTCGAATTCCAAATCATATCAATAGACGGAATCCTGAAGTTGGGAGTTATAACTCATTGCGAGGGAATCCTTGAGTTATAACTCAAACGTTTGAGTTATAACTCAAACGTGAGTTATAACTCAAACACGTGAGTTATAACTCAAACGTGTGAGTTATACAGTCCAAACCAAAATTCTCAAACACGCAGTAGAAATACGTAAGAATAGTAGTCCAGGTCTAAGAAAGTACTTTGGCAAACTCCCCGTGTCACCGTGCAATTTCGTGGGTTTTGTACCAATCCATCAGAACAACAAATCGTCAATTTCATCATCAACCTTCCGACCCCTTGTTGACATCAACAAAACATCGGGCATCTCCACTTTTTTGCACAATTCGCT